CGGGGCGCCCGGGGCCGGCGCTCATCGTGCGCCATGTGCCCGGGGCCAGGCCAGCCCCGAGCACTTGGCAGGCGCATACAAATGCCCCCGCGGGCACCGTGTTGGGGACCACGGTGTTAAACAATTATCACCATTCCTATTTCACTAGAAGATTTACTCAGCATTGGTTGGGTCCCTCATGGCAAGGGATGTGTGTGTGAGGGGGGGAAGGTACAAAACTCAGGGCAGAGGCATAGGGAGGGATGCAAGAGACAGGGATGGGGAGTGAAGAAGAGGTCAGGACAAGGAGCTGGGGGTGGGGGAGGGTGTAGGAGTCTGGGTTTGAGGTTGTGGAGGGCACAGGGTAGCAGGCTAGGAGGTGTGGAGGATTCAGAATTCAGGGTTTGAGAGTAAGGAGAGGCTCAAGGCTAGAATCTGGGGATTCAAGTGTGCTGGAGTCATGGTTTGGGGATGAGGAAGAGCTCATGACAGGGGTGTGTGTGTGTGTGTGTGGGGTGCTGTAGTCAGGGTTCAGGGGTGAGTCGGGGAAGTGCTGGAGTCACAGTTCAGGGGTGAGGAGGGGTCACAGCAGGGGGCAAAGGGTGTAGGGGCTGACAGGGGCCACAGTTCTCTGGGCTGGTTGTGGTGGCAACCCTGCTTTCCAGGTGGTGAGCAGGCAGGAACTTGCCTCCATTCTTCTCCCTGCTGCCCCAATAGGATTATAGCCATCCTGGTCCCTACTTCTGCCCCTTACTGCCCCCTGTGGTCACTGCGCAATATAAATTTCCCTGCTAGTAAGCCCCTTCCTTTTCATGTTATAAAAAACAATCACATTCCTGGCACAACCAAACCTTTACCTTGCTTTATGTTATAAGAGGAAGATGCGTACCAAATGTGGTGGTTCTAGCTCTTACCGTTTAGGAGGAGTTCTTGAACAAATAGATGGACTGCCAGACAGACCTGCTCACAGACAAACTCTCTCAAATACATAGTAGATTTAAATTAAATATAAGATAGTCAACCTTTACAATGTTCGCAGAGTCTTTACCATACTGTCAGTTAGCTCTAGGTCATTCTTAACTCTGCGCAACAGTAGAATATGCAATTGAAGTAGATGTCAGAGTTCAAATATTAAATGATGCATAAGCTGACCTGGTTGAGATACCGCAGTGGCTGTAAACTGAGTAGCCCATGGGGGATTCTTCTGTCCTCCAAATTGAGCCATGATGAAAGGCAAAATCCTCTGGGTGTCTTATCTTCTATATCAGTGGTCTATTAAAATGAATAAGCAACTACTGTTATACATATTTCAGCTAATGTTCAAAGAATTTTAAAATATGTTCCACAAATCTTTAACTACTCCACTGCTTGGAGTAAGAAAAATGCACTTTGAAAGACTTTTTTTATGCACAAGTGACTGGTGTTCAACATAAAAAGCTTTTGAGCTGTGTCAAATCTTAGAGCAATCTAACAAATTATGGAATGAGATATTAGTCTCACTGAGACACTGAAAAACCCTTCATTCTGACAACAAAGCTAAAACTATGTAAGTATACAGGAAAGGCTCAAAACTGAATTAAACTGTGATTTTTAATGAGTTCCAGAAGGGGATTTCACAGAAAGATAAAGGATTTTTAAATGAGCCAAAATTATTTTTGTGCTCACTTACTCTAGAAACACAGTTAGTAGAAACATACAACATGACAGTTTTTGCATAACTCATGTTTGTATTTCAGTACAATTTGAACATTACAACCAGAAATCATTCCTTTAAGGAAAGTTAAAACAACAGGGAAGGCACAGCAATTCTGCTTTTAAGTAGAGTTAGAAGGGCAAGTTAAAACCATGCTGAACCCAAGTTGCTACCTTGAGTTGCTGTACTATCACTGCTATTTTAAACAGAGTTAAGAACACTTTTTGGTTGTGGAGTGCAAACAGCCTAAATAAGTCAAAAGAGCTAAGTCCGGTCAACACACCCACAGCTTTTCGGGCTTAGAGAGAAAGCGAGACAGTTAGCATTATTACAGGAGTTATGTGTCGCTCCCCGCCTGTATCTGGCCTTTTTCAATGCAAGCAATTTATTAACTCAAAATGACTAAATCTTTGATCCTTTACACAAGTATTTCGTTACCTACAGCCGCATTCCCAATTGACCTCACAGGAAAGACTCTGCTCACATTCATGTGTACAGGATTGGGACCTAAGCGGGTCTACCCGACAGTAAGCCGGGTGGCACCCCGGCAATAGAACAGAGCCTACCGCGCCGAGTCCCGGTGACAACCAAAATGCGAAGCGCACTCCCGGCGCCCCGCTGCCGTGCTAGAAGCGCCCAGGAACCGACGCTCGGCCCCGCCATCTGAACTGGCACAGCCCGCGAACAAGGCCGGGGCTGCCCGGAGGGAGCCTCTGCGCGGGGCAGGACCGAGCGCAGGAGCCCCGGTGCGGGAAAACGACGGCAGGGGGGCGGGGGGGGCCCCCCCCCCGC